TCGGCATCTAATTCGTTATTATTACGTTTAGAGGGAGAAAAATACATGTAACAACACTTCTTTACATTAATGTGCAGTAGGTTAACTCCCATATACTTGTTTACGGCCTGTAGTACTTCATTAGCTAATTCATATGCTTTATTTCTCGAATCGGCAGCGACAAATATATTAGTATCGTCTGCAAATAAGACAAATTTACCCTTTTTAGTTATATTGCATATGTCATTGATGTACAGTAGGAAAAGTAGAGGTCCTAATACACTACCCTGAGGGACCCCGAATTCGACCGGTAATTCATCAGATTTGGTATCCAAAACGTTTACAAATTGTTTCCTATTAGACAAATAACTAGAGATAAGATTCAGAGCATTTCCTCTTATGCCGTAGTTGTTTAATTTTGTAGTTAGTTTACAGTGGTCTAGAGTGTCAAAGGCTTTTGAGAGATCGATAAAGACCCCTAGGACATGTTGCTTTTTACTAATTAACGATTCTATATGTTCTACAGAGTAGTTCAGTGCATGGCTGGTGGAGTGTCCTTTTCTAAAGCCGAACTGGTTTTCATGTATTATACCCTTGGAAGTAAGGAAACTATAGAGCCGCTTATATATTAACTTTTCTAGAATTTTCCCGAATACAGGTAGAGTTGATACTGGTCTATAGTTTTCTAAAAGCTGTTCATCTTCTTTTTTGTAAATGGGGCTGATTCTCCCAGTTTTTAATTCATCGGGAAAGTGGCCTTCTTGCATGCATTTATTAAAGTATCTAGCTAAGTACGGTGCAGTAATTTGACACGACTTCTTGATCACATGAATAGGTATGTCACTAGATTTCCCGTTTTTTAGTTCGTTTATGATCTCTTTAATCTCAATACAGTCACAATCACAAAGAAAAATACTGGACGTAACTGATGTGGGCAGGTAATCAGTAAATGACGGCAGGGAATTTATTCTTAAGAAGTCACCAGAGTATGCTTCGTTCAAGTTAGCTGCAATAGAGGCAAAGTATTTATTGAACTCATTTGCAATTACACGACGATTAATCACACGCTCATTATTTATCACAAAGTTAGGTTTAATCTCACGTCTTTTCTTACCACGTAGTTCATTAATTATCTGCCAAGTTTTCTTACTATCTCCAGCGCATTCTGTAATCTTAACACCATGATACTTACGTTTTGCAGAATTAATAAGGTGGTTTAATAACTTCCGGTGTGCCTTAAATTCTTCATGACGTGTTACTTTATTTGTACAATTAAAACAAAGGGTAAGACAGTCTGCATGGTTGGTTGAAGAGGCGTTGAGGCATTTCTTCTTAACTGCCTTTTTCCACAGGTCATAAAGCTCATGTTTTCTATTTATAGAGGCAATCAGGCCTGATGTAATCCATGGATTATTCTTAGCAGTACGTTTAGAACACTTAGGCTGGTTTAGTTTACATGCACTGTCTAGTTGATGATTAAATACAGTGAAAAAATTACTGAAGTCTTCTGGTGGATCACTAGTTAATTCATTGTCTAGTACTTCCACAAATTTGTCCACATTTTTTGCACAGTAGTCATAGTACTGGAAATAGTTTTGTTCATGAACCTCAGTACTGACTAGGGGTGAGTTGAATATGTTAAATACAGCATGGTGGTGACTGATGCAGGTACTAATTGTTCCAGAGCAGATAGAGTTCTCTATGTTGTTGGTGAGTATGTTGTCAATGCATGATTCGTTACATCCTGGTTTATGATGCGTGGAAGTAGAAATAAGTGGTGATAAACCTAGACCTAGAATAAGGTTTTCAAAGTCTTGAACAAGTTTACTGTTTTCATCATGGAGATTAATGTTAAAGTCACCTAGTATGTAAACATTCTTTTTTGGGCATGATTCAATAATTTTTCTAAGTTCATTTAGTGCCTCTGAGGAGTCCCCACTAGGAGGACGGTACAGTACTCCTACATGTACAGGTTCATCATGTTGAATAGTAATAAATAGGGTTTCAAGATTTTTGGTTACCCATGATAATTCTTCGTTTACAACTCCGTTAAGTTCGTCCTTTAAGTACAATGCTACTCCACTTCCCTTTGCTTTATTGATATGTTTGTCCTGATAGAAACAATTGTACCCCTCTAGATGGTAAACAGTGCTTTCCTCTATTCCAATATTGGTTTCAGCAAGTCCAATAATTTTAAATTTTTCGGCTAATCGGTTTAGTTCCATGCTAAAGGCATCAAAATTTGTTTTATTACCATCTATGTTCTGGAAAATCGTGGAGCAGTTGCTTGCAAAACACGGTTTGATATGTGTGTTAAAGTCCTTAATTGTATAGGATCTACAGTTTTCCAAAGCATCGGACATCTTTTGGATACATGGGTCACAGTCATTAACTTCAGGATCGGTCATTACTTTAAAAGGATTATATTTTTTAGATATGGAATGTTTACACTCGTTGCAGTAAAAGTTGTCATTGATAACTTGCGCTTTGGAAGGATTAAAACATTTGGCATGGAGAATACTATTGCAGTTAAAACATTCAAAGTGGGGAAGCCCTAATCCAATATTCTTCAGACAGTGACTACAAATTTCCTTTTGAACACGATTAACCATACCTGTTAACCGTTCCGTCCCCTCCGCTGCAGTGCAGGCGGGCCACTAGCCACGTTGCTGTATAGCCGTCCATTGACTTTGCCGATGTGTTTTCTTCTGTCTTCTCCGCCATTTAACCTAATAAATACAGATTGTTTAATGAGTCCAGCAAGGACTCTTGCCCCTAACTTGTTAAGATGAAGTGTATCAAGTCGACCATGTCTGTCGAATTGTTTCGACAGTTCGTCCGCAAGACCATAGTTGCAGACAAACTGTTCGAAACCGTTAACACATACGACATCCTTACATGTAGGGAGCAGGTCGAAATGAATAAGTCTATTAAATGCATTAACTTTTACATTCAGCTCTAAGTCCTTAGTAGGCAGCAGTTTACAAACAAAAACAGCTCTAGTGCTGGGGCTAAGATTCTTAATTTGTTTAATTTTCAGCTTGAGTTTATTATAACAATCAGCAACATCATTCTCACAACTAATATCCGGCTGTCTCACGTCATTGATCCCACAGTGGAGCACCACATTGGCGTAACCCATGCAGGACACAGGGTTGATATCTTCAATTCTGGGAGCCCAGAACTTTTGACCTGGCATGAGTTCGCCAAAGGTACCCCTCTTGTCAGACCCAAAACGCAAGAAGCCTGTGTTTGAATCACCATGTAAGCTTGTGCAATTTTTATTTGTCCAGCTAACAGCACGAAAGGTCAGCGAGTACCTAATACCATCTGATATTGAGCCACGCTCAATCATATGACTGTAAACTTCTTGTGATCTACGGCTCATTATGTACAGGGAGCGATCATGACATTCAAGAGAGGATTCAGTTCTAGAGTCACATTCAGTGAACTTGATTTTGCAGATCTGGCCGAGAGACAAAGTAAGTATTGATGATTCTGGATGGATGGTCACTTCACGGTCTGAATGGTTAGGCAGGTGACTATCAGAGCCATCATACTTGTTGATGAGACATGAATTGATAACCGGGGCCGTCAGGTGGGGCTGATCCGGGTAGCTCTTGTTAAAAAGTTCAGTTTGTACTTTGTTCATTTCATCAAATAATGGTTTGAGTTCCTCAGGAATTGGTGGCACATTTTCTGAAGATTTAGAACCCATGTAGTGGTAGGGGGTGCCAAATGAAGTGACGGAGTGACCGTTCTCTTGTTTGAAAGAACATGACTGAAGAAAGGCAATAATTTTCTCAGATTCAGTAGCCAGAATGAAATCTGGCCTGGTTTCAGTTACTGGCACCTGATCATGTGGTAAGTGAGGGGTAGGTTGTTCAGGTTGTAGGGGAGCCTGCACTGGAGGAGAGGGGTACTGGGCTACAGGTGGTGCTTTAGATTGAGGAGATGCTTTAGAATCCTGTATTTGACTGCTTAAGTTGTTAAGTTGGGTGGAATGCTCACTCAGTTCTTGTGAGACTCTCTCAAGTAGCTCATGAGTGGCAGTGCAAGCAGGTGTTTCAGATGCTGCAGTTTGATGCGATTGAAGCTGTGCAAGTTGCTGGTTCAGCTGCTCGATGCTGTTGGCTAGAGGGTCTGTGGCAGAGCTGGATGATGAGGACAGTGCTGCTTCTAACTTTTTCATTTGAGCCTGATGGGACTTCAACCCGTCTTCTTTAATCAGGAGATGTTGCAGGTGGAGATCAAAAGTCTGAAGACGTTCCATGTTGCTGTTGAGACTGGCTATTTGCTCGCAGAGTTTCTCACTGTCTACTGAGGCAAGCGATGCTGAGATTAGGCCTATGTTATCAAGATTCTCTGCAGCAGCTGAGGCTTCAAATTCACTGTTAGCCTGTCGTAAGACTGCTGTGTTTCTGCAGGAGAAGCATGTGTCTGATCTCTTGTTCCTGGCAGTGCTTACTGGGGCAACGTAGCAAAAGGGACATAGGTAGTCAACCATGGCGTTGATGGCCTGCCTTGAGATCCCACGCATACTAAGACAATCAACATGCCACTGCTGCTTACAACGCGAACAGTCGATCAAATAGACTTTGCCGCCAGACGAGCTGTTACACGGGCACTTATCAAGGTCCCAGTGTTTCGTCTTGGCAGCACTTTCAGCTACTCTGCTCACCTTAATTATGGGCGAGCTAGTATCGCTTTCTGACTTAGCTTTATTCCTCTTGTTGGGGTGAGGACTGAGTGTATCCATGGAACCTCCTCTCCCACTCTGGCTTCTTGGTATACTACTATTACCAGACATTCACAAAAGGAAAAAAGGAGTTTGTATCTTCTAAAAAAAACTTAATCACCAACCGGAAATGTTCAGACTTTTGGGTCTGACTCCCTTTATAGATTTGTGTAGAGTGGAAGGAGAAGCAGGACTTCTCGGGTCTGTGCTGTGTCACTTAACGTCAGTTATCGTTTAACAGCTTCAGTTATCGTTTGACATTATCGTTTAACATTACACATACCTCAAATTATTTGTTATATAGCAGCGCTGAAAGTATTAATATATAATATTGATATTGTTATTATTGAACGAAGCTAACTGAAGACATAGTTAATATTATTTCTTTTAACAAAGGGACTTGGAGTATAAACGACCAAGTTTGCATAAATTTCTATCCAACTAAGAACTCAGGAGGCAAAGGTGGGTGTATAAACTTTTGGTCTGCACTCTCCGATCCTGTATCACCCTGGATTCTTCTCAACATATCTTTGTAAAAGGTATATACCTTTTAGTCAATCTCTTGCTACTCCAAGTCCCCTAACATATCTGATCTAAAGTTCGTGCTAGTTATACATATATGAAATACATTTTTGTCTGCTTTAATTGATACTAAATAAAATTGTTGTTTTCTTGAAATTGTTGGTTTCTTGATATTTAACAATTTTATAATGTGTGAGTAAGTGGCGGTGTGGTTAGACCCATCTTAACAGCATGTACTTTTGCTTAACCCATTAGGGACGATAGGGTCGTTTTTATGACCCACCTTTTCTAGACAAAAAACCAAATTACTAAACGCTATAACGAATCTATAGCATATATGCTCCAAATTTATTGGGCTTCATTATATGTAGCCCAATAAATTTGGGGCATATATGCTATAGATTCGTTATAGCGTTTAGTAATTTAGTTTTTTGTCTAGAAAAGGTGGGTCATAAAAACGACCCTATCGTCCCTAATGGGTTAATGCAAGCGCGCTATAGCTGCTAGCATAATTGTATAATTTACTTTGAAATTAACGGGTGATACTCGTAAAATATCTGTTCCATTTACTGAGCCGCGCTCAGCCTGTCATTCCGCCTAATCTCTATTCGGTTTATGAACATGATAGCCTGAGGTCCCCGGGTAACTGTTCCATATATTGGACCGTAGACAAGTCCAACTCAGCGCGCGTACTGGTAGGTTGTAAACCTACAACTTTGAAATCAAGTTTGAAATCAAGTTTATTTGGATATTTCATATATATACTTCTTCCGGAGCGAGTCATTCCTTATTGGAACAAACTCCCTCCAGATGTCAAGAACTGCTCGACAGTTTTAAGTTTTAAAGTTAGATTGGAAGGATTTAAGAAAGAAATGATTTCTAAAAACAGTGTAAATGATTTTTATTTTTGAAATGTTTCAAATGAAGTTTTAGGGGAAATTGAAGGACCCAGTTATTTAAGCAATAAGGAGAGACAATGAGACAGTATAATGAATATTTTTGGTTTCATCCTTTTGTGGCAAAGAAGCGTTTTGTAAATCTTTATTCCATTGGGAAGTTTTTTCACTTAACCATGTGCTTTCGCGCCACTTTGGGCGCGCTTGTTTCACAAGTCAATAAAAGATAATCAAGCTAGATGATTTGTTGTAAATACTGAGATCAAACTATCAATTTACAGGCTATCGTCAAACATGTTGCAAGGCGTCATCTTCAGTGACATAAGCCTAAAAATTATAAAAAGTTAGTAAAACCCAAAATTCCTTTAAAAATCTAAACACTCTTTAAACGGTTATATAATAATTAAAATTAAGATGTTAGGAGTAATGGAAGGCCAAAAGGATCTATAGTGTTTATTCCCAAAGGTTTTAAAGTCTTGAGTTGTTGAATATATTTATGTTCACGAACTTCTAAAGTTTTAGGACTAGAATTATCAATAATTGAAACATTAAAAATTTTGTTAAAGTCCTCCCTTTGTTTAAAACCATGATCCAACAAATGTAAGCCCAAACTATATTCATCACTTGTTCCATCTACCTTATCACCATTTAAATGTTTATAATATTTGACCCTAGGCCTATGTTCTCCAGTTCTAACCCGTAGAGAGCGAGTAGTGCGACCGACATAAGCCTTTCTACAGAAACTACTTAACGTCTCTCACTGACACCATCACCCAGCAACCAATTTTAAAGTAAAATTTATTAACGATCTGACTACAGACTGGCGGTCAACGTTCCCCGTATAGTAGCTCAACGGAGGGGGTAATCAGGGCACGTGTTAATGAAAAATGTACGTGTCCTTCCACAATCCCTTCTGTTGGGTCACACGTTATTGGGAACTGAGACCGCTATCGTGTAACTAGGAGCAGTATATGCAAAGTAACTTCGGTGATAGGTGATAGGCAATATGAAATTACACATCTTACTTTAACTTTATCCCGTCACCCATGGACTTATTAATTAACGGCTGGTGGTGGTGTCATCGTTTGTCGTACTCAAAACGTTTCGCGGTTGCGAATGCCGGCCCATCGCGAGGAAAATCTTTTTACTTTGTATTTTAACCATTATAAAGTATGATTAGTCGGATATAGTACTGAGTTCAAACGGTCCCCGAAACGAAAAAGCAAACATTTGATTTTTGTTTCGGCGACTGAATCGTTGATGGGCCGGCAAATATTTGTTGTCGAGTAGTGTTGAATACTCATATTAACATGATTATTGATTTAATTTAGGAATTGTATATAACTATCTTTGACCAAGTTTAATTGTTAATGAGAATGCACTGGGCGCGCGCGGCGGCTTTGATGTTAGCGGCTGCAAGCTTGAAGCTAGGCAGCTGCAGAAAAGGCGCCGCGCGCGTTCACAGTTCAGCATACGGCTTTTCGTTTTTGATTTTACAAATGACAAAGCAACTTTTAATGATTATTAATGGAATTATCGGATATTTATAATTCAATATGTATTGATTCTTCTGTGGAAAATAAAAATTGTATTTTACTTACATTGGAACAGATAAATGATGTTGTAACTCAAGCAGTTTCCAAGGGAAGCTTTAACCTTTTCGCCGTTCACTTTGAACTCATGACTGCCTTTGACAACTTCGCAGCATTTGCATCTTGGCATATGGCATTTGCTGGTTGGACCATGTTTAGCTCCTAAAGCAAGTTCTTTCAATTTGACGAGGCGAGATTTTAGGCTTGGCCCTGTTTTCTTGGTGTAACTTTCTTCCTAGGTGTGAAGAGCGATCTCATCCGATCGCAAAGTACTGTTATCAAGCTGCAGGCTGAACTTCTGGAAAGCAAATCGAAGCAGTTGGAATCCGTGCACTCCAGAGGCGGCTATTGAGGGCGTCCAGGCATCCGTGGACGCCCTAAAATTATTATTTGGTGGCTGGTGCTTGAAAATAGAAATAGTGATTAGTAATGGTATATGGAAATATCTAACCGCAATATAAAGCTCTCTATTCATTTGTTTGTTGTTTAGTTGTGTTGGAAGGGAACATTACTTGATTAATTCATCCATTCGGATTTTAATAACGATGAGCTATGATATACCGTTCATCTTAGACTATTGGATCAATCTTATTATATGATTAGATTTTATAAACGAACTTGGCACACAAAAGATTATAATGCGGAGGTTGGCTGGCTCTTCTATAATAAATACGACACTTCAATTTACAGAATGCTTGCTAGAGGTAAGACAAAATATTATCAGACTATACATGCAGCATGAGTAACTGGTGGATAAGCCTTCGGTAAAAACGGATCCGGAAAAGTCAATGCGGCACTCGGGTCCTTGGTATTGTCGTTGGCATATTGTCCATTATCTACGTTCTGCTTTCGTAGTTTAAGCAATAGTAAGTTCTAAATATACAGCTTTAAACCGATTAAGTATGAATGAATGAAATACCTGACAATCCGCACTCTTATAATCCAAAAGCATGAGTAACTCGTAGTGATGTCTGATTTTTAGAAACTTTAAATTAATTTTGGCGCTCACAGGTCCTCATGAATATGTGATTGCCGCATAAGGTTCTGTAAATGCGCAGGGCACCTTCAAGCTTAAATTATTCACCTTACTGAGGCAGTCAACCAACGCGCGGCTTTATTTTTATGATATGATATATGTTTTGATTGTTATTAATAAATACCAAAATTTAAATTTGTTTTCCTAATTTGTTTTCCTAATTTGTTTTCCTATTCATTCAAACGTTTGAATGTAAGCGCACGCATGATCTTTGTGAAATTAAGGGGGCTGGGGGGTCTTCATCAAAATTCTCTCGAAATTGACTTTATAGTTGTTTCTGATAGAAAGGAGTGATATCTATCTTAAGAAAGTTCATTTTCTACCAGTTAGATTTAGAATAGATTTTAAGATTGCCCTACTTGCCTACAAGTGTTTAAATAATATAGCTCCTCCTTACTTAAAAGAGTTGATATCTCCTAGGCAGCAAAGTTTTAAAAATGTACGTCTTGATAATGATTATTTTTACCTTAGTTTTCCGCCCTCTCCTAACTATGTAAACACAGAGAAAGCTTTTAGTCACTGTGCAGTTAAAGTATTTAATTCCTTGCCATACGACATAAGATCAGCTGAGTCAGTTACATCTTTCAAGACCAAACTTAAAACATACTTCTTTTCTCTAGCATTTGATTGATTTTGCATTTACATAGGTAAAATGAACTTGTCATGTCTAATTTTCAATTAAACTAAGCTCAGTTAATGTAAGAGCCGCTTTAGAAAGCACTGGAGTTTATCTCCAGGATTAAATTATATCGAGTTATATGATTTAGCTATAAGGCGGTTTATAAATGTTGTAATTATTATCAGCTGTTTTTGGTCCCATGGAAAAATGTTGTTCTTAGCCGAAATTATTGCCGGTCAAAGGTCAGTGCTTATGTGTAATTGTATTGCGCGAGCGATTTTCAATCACCCTGAAACTTTCAGGATATGTTCTAAGGACCATTTAAAAGAGATTGTCGGGCCATTTTGAAAATCTTGGACCTGAAAAAATCGTCAAAAAAACCCAAGATTTTCAAAATCGAATAAAAATGTTCTAATTAGCGCTTTTGTAATTAATTGTATGCAAGGGATGGGATGCTGATTAACTAAGCTGGTTCAATGCCCCAGCTATTTAGTGGGAGCCACTCAATTTCACGCCCAGGTGTTGCCAATTGCTGGGTTTCAAGTAAAAGCTTTTTGATACGGCTCTTGCATTGATAATTGAGATGGGGGAGGAAAGGTCGGAAAATTTACTAGAGCCAGGGACCATGACATTGTTTTCATAAGGAGTGCGTTTGTCGAATATTTTAGCAACAAAACTGTTCCATATAGTCGTACCTTTGAAGACAGAATTGGGTTTAGAAATGTCAACTTTGTGTCGGGGGACCCGCATAGTTTGGCTACATGTTCTGGAACTTGTTTGGAATAATCTTGTCAGAGAGATGGGTTGATGCAGTTTCAAGATTTTGTTGGATTTTGTATTGGATTTTCTGTAACATCAGTTACTGTTCTGCAGTAAGCTTTTTTAATAATTTTGTATTGTATATTGAAGTATTCAGATTGTTTGTATATTTGGAGTTTATAGATTCTTACAGAAATTTTAATATTTTATAATTTTTCATCTTTATTATCTTGTATATCTTTTTGTTAGTCTTATGAGTCTCATACATAGATTTCTTGTGGTCATCATCTATTTTTCATATGTTTTGTTAGAAAACCTGCTAACCTTTCTTGGATATCTTCTTGTTAAAGGTGTTTCTGCCTTATTTAGTCAGGATTTAACTTGCAGCTATAAACTTCCGTTTTTACTCCAGTCCAAGGCGAGATGCACGATCTCTACTATCATTTACAGCTGAGCATAAGGGTTAAATTTAAATTATTTAACCTTTTGGTGCTGTATCAAAATAACATTAATTTATTATTATTATTATTAACAGTTCAGTGGATATATTTTGGATGTACAGGTTGTGGATTGACATGATTTTCTCGGTATTGAATATTGCAATTGGCTTAGTGTTTTCCAAAGCAAAGCTCCTTTTTGCAATGTGTTCACTGTATGGTCTTGCACGTGCACATGTTTCATAGTACTCTGCCCGGTCAAAGCTTGGTTTGCTTCCAAATAGAAGGCTTACACATCTTTTTTGGATGGAGAACAGTTTAGATAGTCTATAAGGTGTGACACCACCCCAGCTTCTAATACATTAGCTCATATGAGACTTGAATAAGGAGTCATACAGTTTATAGTACTCTGTTTCTGGAATATACTTCATAATATGTTTAATTATAGCTATACTTGTAGTTAGTTTACATTTCATGTTATCTAGTTGGGGTTCCCAGGATAGTTCATGGTCTATGATAACACCAAGGAATCTCACTTCATCTACTCGTGTAAGCGTGGTGCCTGATAAGTTGAGCAGCAGACTCCCAGTCAGATATTCAGTGGGACTCAGACAATGTGTATTATTAATCTCTGTACAAATGTTCAAGGATGCCATCCAGCGCAAATCAAATCAAAACATAATGATACATAAAGATTATCACAAATTTTCATAAAAATATCTTAATCATTTAAATGAAAAGAATTCTGGAGATTCTTTACTTTAGTGCCTCTAATTGATTTAATTTTGATATTTTACTCTTTAGATAAAATTACATCCCACTTTAGGATGAAATCAAAAACATTTATCCCTTTCCAAATCTTTTTTCTGGACATGATGTTTGTTGTGCAGCCTGGTTATACGGATAATATTATGAAGAATATGATACCAGCATCAGCAGATATCGGCGATTCTGTGAGTCTATACTGTATTAATGGCCTTGATGATCTTAATATTCAATGGTATAGAGGTAACCAAACCCAAGATGAAGAAATCATTAGCAAACCAGGTTCACGATTCACGATGACAACAATAAAATTTCAATCTTGTAAGAGTGGAGGATACCCTTACAGATTTTGCTCAATTCTGGAACCAGTGATAGGGGATAAAACTGAAAGAAAAGACTGCACAACATCTGTCTTAACTGTCTCCAATATCACTGAAGAGGATTACAACACAACATACAAATGTAAATGGTATTACCAAGATGGATGGCAGCAGACAACACGTGAAAGACAAGGAAGAATTGTCAATTTGGAGGAGGGTGCTCGTGATTTATTCACCAGCTATTATTCAGATAATCCTTTACATTGTGCTTCAAACCGCAACATCTCCTGGTACATCAGTCATGATAATCAGAGTCTGACTAACATTGATGAGCCAGAAAAACTACCAGAACAGTGGGTTTCTGAGCGTCTCTACAAGCAGATTTCGTGGCACAATGGAAGTCTGTATGAATCTGTTCTGACTGTAAATGATGATGCTATAAGAATCTTTCAAGATACACACTTCTACTGTGGAACAGATGTGAACTCTACCATTTTTGTCAAATTTTACTCAAAAAGGGATTGGGACAGATTGGAGGATGTTTGGTATGAAATAGAAGACTTGGATAGATATATCTGGAAATTTTCTTTGATCTTGCTCTCCTTGATTCTTATTGCTGCGATAACTGCATTGGTTCGAGCTAGACTTCTCAAAATATGTTACAATCATTGTTGCATGAAACTGGCTGTTTTAATTGTACAACATCGTGATAAACAGAGTACACAACAGAGCATTGTATACTCTCAGATTGTAGAACCTGGGTCAACTGCTCAGCCACCAAACACTGTGCTATCTGAAGAACTAACATCACAATCTCAAATTTCTGCTGTTCTTGATCTTGGTGAGGAAGTTGATAGCTCATCTTAGCCCTGGAGAGGAAGTCACTACTGATGCATCCTGATTATCATGATACTCATCAATCCATAATCTTATGACACATCATGCAAAATATTTGTGCATTAGGAGACACTATAGTGATTTGAATCAAAAGGTTTCGGTATGTTTTATTTCGACAGCTCAGTTATACTATCCGAGAGATTTGATTTATCTTAATTGTTTTCTATAATTCAGTAAATTATTCTTCAGAAAAAACATTTTTATTTTCCGATTTTTTAAATGATTCTGATAACTACTAATTCTAATAAACTACTAAATTATGTAAAAAACGATTGATCGAATGTAATTATTTTACTTTTATTAGTCTATTTGATTTATTAGTATTTTTCTTACGGTTTTTTAAATCAGTCGAGTGGTTTAATTGATCATTTTGCGACCCAATGGCACTCAGAATTAAATTTTGGTCTGTTTAGACTGAGCGGTACGAAAATGTAATGCGTGTTTTCGAATATAATAGGCGGTTTATACTGCAATAGTGAAGTCCCGGCCGGGTTACACTAATATTTAAATAATGTTAATTTGATGCGTGCAATATATCTGGAAGCTAAAAATAACTTTTCAATAGCAACTATGATTTTCTCATATATCTTGCATAATAAAACCATTGTCAACTTATTAACAAAAAAATATATAACTATGTCTAATGTCCTACTCACCGAAATTATTTATATTTTAACTCTAGTAACACTATTGATCTCATAACTAATAACTATTCAGTATTCAGCTAGGTCCCACTAGCACTGACAGTAATAACCATCCAGTTCAAGGTCCCATGTCAGTACCTCTCTGCTTAGTATCAGTCAGTCTTATCGTTACCCTGGTTTGCACTCAAGACAATCTTGATGTCAGGTTGTTCTGCAAGGACCTCCCCGAGGAACAAGTTAAATGCGGAGAGGAACTTCATATAACCAAAGCCACTGAGGTTTGTTTTTTATTAGTTTATATTATATATATAGTAGGATTGGTGATTTTCCTTTTTTAAATAACAGCTGAGGTGACCAATCAATGAACATGAGTTCGATGAGAGTGATAGAAGTCACCATCGAGGTACTGGAACATGAATATCCGGAGAAAACTTTGATGAAAGGAAAATTTTGAAAATGTCCTACCGGTAGGACATTTTCAGATTTCAGCTTTCCGAGGCCCATATTTTACTGTTTTGACTCAATTTTTCTCGAATGATCAATGGATGAGTTCACTCATTACTGTGGATGGCACAAGCCACGATTGAGGTACTGAAAGTTAGATTACCAAAGAAAATTTTGATAAACGGAAAATCATCAGAATAGAAGGAGACATTTTGGAAGATTTTTGAATAGAAGCTTTTCTGCCGTTTCCTTGACCGAAATTGCACCGTTTTGACTGAAGTTTTAACCATTGACCAATCAGTAAGGTCAGTGTGAGTCAGATTGATTAATGGGAGAATTAATTAGTTGGACCAATATCACTGTGTTAATTTATAATTAAATTAATTTTCAGGCATATAAGGTTTGCAGTGACAAAACAGCTGCCCCATGCTGTCGAGCTAATAGAACCATACTAGTGGAATGCATTCCCAAAGAAGATGTTGTTTGTATCGGTGATAGAGGTATTCCTGAGGTGAGATATTGTTTTTGCAGACAATCAGATCTACCACTTACATATTTTATGTTGATTTTGATAAATCACTTGGACCTTTCAAAAATTTGCCGTTCGTGAGAATTAAGCATTTTGTAACTTTAATTGACGTTTTCATCAGGATTGGAAGGGGAATGTGTCCCATCACAAGGAATTGCCGTGCAGATATGTAACTGGTTACGACTATAGGACTGCTCTGATTCTTTCTGTTTTTATGGGGATGTTTGGAATTGATCGTTTCTACCTTGGGTAAGTTATATCTAAGCACTGTAAGCGATGCTCAAAGCGAAAATCAAACTTTTGTTTTCACCTTGAATTCTAAAATTGCACCCATTGCTAGTTTGACAAGCTTATTCATTAAGAAGGATGCGCAAGATTTTCATTATAGCGCGCGCGCGCGCGGTCGTCGAGCTACATAGCTTAGCTTATATTAGCTGCTATACTGGCCGGAACAGCTATTCACTTGACTACATTATGGGCATATGTCGCCTTTTTATCCGTTGATTGGGGCCACTTGTGCTCAAGATATTAACTCGAACGACATGAGATTAATACCTCATGTATTCTAGCGTGGTGCGGTTCCATAAATCTTGACTTTAATTCGGTTGTAAAGTGTGGCTTATGTGTCAGCCAATGACGTTGATCATTGTCTTTCACCGAATCCTAAATTTGATACTCTACAAAAAGAATTGCCGGGTGTTAATCTCAATTATCTGACCAGTAAGACTACTCTCCCTTGATCACGTGAACTTTGAGATGTGGCCTGCTAAATTTTGGGTCCTTACATGACATTACAAAACTCAATACAATTGCGAATACCGACGTTTATTAGTTATTCTCGCCATGGCACATTGTTTAATCTAGAAAACGATCTAGAACATGTTAAATGTTACAGTTTGTTGCCCCCGCTACAATATTAATTTGGCTTTCCTCTTTTAAGGCTCCACTGCACGTAGCGGTATTTCAAAATGAAAGCAGTGAATTTAAAGTCAAATCAATATTATCTCCAGGTACTACGCCATCGGATTGCTAAAGTTTTGTACATTCGGATTTTTCTTGCTGGGACAACTAGTGGATATCATCCTGATAGCTACCCAAACTGTAGGGCCTGCTGACGGCTCAGATTATCTCATATCTGTGTACGGACCTATTTTAAATAAAGTGGGCATGGAGAACCACACGTTTTATCAGTATGGTAGTTACTATTTCAAACAGCTGCAGCACGATGAGTTTTGAATTCCTAGCGCAGGAGAAGTCCATTCATAGCACCGGGAATGCACAGTTTGACAGTTTTTTAAACTGATGTAAAGATGAAGTGACCGATGACGTACATTACTATAGAATGATGGTGTTACTGTCAGCTAGAAACTCTGGACACTTCTTCCTTTCTTGGTTCTATCTTGTGACGGAGCAGTTTTTACTCATCATAACACAGATCTTCCTAGAGAATTGCTTTCACCATATTACGTCATATGCAACGTGAGAAGGGCATGTGGAACTTTGAACTTGATGTTTTATAATTCTAGCCGAAAGTAGTAAACTGCGGGCTAAGTGTAATATTGAGGACAGCATTGGTCCAAATTGTTTCCAACAAATTTTGATTTGTTATTTAAAACTGATCAGGAGATTTTTGTTTTTTAACTCACGACTTGAATTGTACTATATTGCAATTGTGATTTATCTTTTTTGATTATTGAACGAAGAAGACTGTTTATTTTGGAAAAGAAAAATATAGATATCGTGAACAATCGGAAACTATATCTCTCAAAGTTTTTTTTTTGTTATTTAACATCGATGTCTGCCGTCCCGAATTAGCGACTTATAGTTAAATAAATCCTGGAATCCCTTAATATTTTGAGATGAACTTAGATTTAAGCACTGTTTTTAGGAATAACATCTGGGGCAGTGTGGAATTCAGGTAGAAAGACAACGCAAACAGATCTTTAAAAAACGTTTTGCAGACCTAAAATTGCACATTTTCACTGTGAAGATCTTATACAATCACCCAAAAATTTCAAAATACAAAAATGATAGTTTTCCTCTTGTTTCTGGACCAGAAAAATATCGTTTTTCTTGCTTTTCTAGACTCTCCATAGTATGTATATCAGGGCAAACGTTACATACATTATATACAATATCTTTATTCTAAACATACACACGGGTGAACGGAGCCGAAAATCTCAACAAGAAAAGCAATTTGGAGCAGGGCATGCACTAGCTCACTTTCTACTCGGACGATGATTGGAAAATGTTTGGGGGTGTTGTGATGAGTTGCATCTTTCAGATATTGAAGTGCATCAGCGCATCCCAGTACATATAGAGTGCATCCCAGTGCATGCGCCACTCTTTAAGTCACGCTTCTCCACAATTGAAAGTGCTAAATGATTCTCAACACGGACATGTTGATACCTCAATACCTAGTTTTGCGAATGAAAACAGTTCAAGTTCTTCCCTATCTCTCTCAATCTGCCACTTCGGCTCACCAGACACTTCTGACGTGATTATTTTAAAGTCATAATGCTTTAAGCTCGGCATGTATAATATTATTACAATTCGTTTAGAGGGGCTCAAATGTGGCAGATTTGAGGATCTTTATCTTGAATTAAATATAAACTTAAAAATTAGGCGTGCAAACTAGAACTAAGATGAAATACAAAACGTCCGATCAGACTTTCCCGGCGGCCTCTCTAAGACCGCTGAAAATACGTATTAAAATTCTATATTAAAAACGGCAACCATCTATTCGCAAAATATGCACTTGAAAAATCAAGAGTTACAATCAAATTCATACACCATTCTTAAAAACCAAACAGTTAACCACCATGTACATAACCGATGACCAAACTTTTGAAAGTATAATAAATATATGCATAAATGTATTAGACCATTTTGGCGACGTTTTACCTCATACTATCATTTTTAATTTTATTTTACAAACAATTTCTTAACCTAAGACAAAATAAAAAATCGAGTTGTGGAGGCGATAAAAACTGAGCAGTCTACGTATCCGACCGACAGTCTAACGGAGCCGCACTCATCATATCGTTCCTGAAGCCTGGTGGCGGCGTGTCTTGGTCTCCCCGTACAGTTCTCAAGTCCATTTCCACCCGCTGATTCTGACTAGCGGCCATGTAGGGCAGGTGATGCGCCGCCGTGACGGGCATCCTCATACTACTGATATTATTCATATCGTGTTGGGATCTGACCATGGGGGCTCCATGGCCCCATCCTGCTGCGATGTGTCCATTTGTATAAATGCTACTGTGGGGGATGTGGCCGGATTGCATCATCAAATAGTTGGGGGGTATCTGGTGGTGATGGCCTGGCATTTGGTGCATTCCAGCGCTGGGTATACTTCCAGAGTGGTGCATGGTGCCGGGAGGGACCATCATATATTGGGCTGTAGGGGGGTACAGCATCATGCCTGGCGTCGTGGGCCGGTAATAATTCGGTGGTAGTGCGAGTCCACTGGAGGTGACAATCGGAGGTGATACTACGGAGTCCATACCGTTCGTCTGAAAGAAAGGAATTGTGAGCGAACTGTTAACGCATGTTCCTCTATCATGGCAACCATATCAAATTTAACTAAGAGCGACAATTCATAAAAAAACGAAATACACGTTTTACAAACCGCTGATTTGACACTGTTGTATGTATCCTGGTGGACACTGTTGCTCGTTTCAGAGTGAAGAGAGCGCGTGTCGATGTCGGGGGAGGTGGCGTGGTGATTGGCTTTATCGTGCGACAGCTTCCGTCGCACTTCAATCGTCAACGAAGAATTCGACTGCTGTAATAATTAGAGTTGCAATCTATGTACATGATATAATATTAACGATTTTCCTTAAATACTAACCTAGCATCTTTAATTGTCGAGATCGCAACCATAGAGGAAAAATACATTTTTTTAGTTACTTACATTTTTCGCTCAAAATATTTAAGTGAATGCCATACAGCAGTAAGTTGGAAATTCTGAGTTTAACTACGTTGGCTGAATTTGGTACAGATATTTTCAAATTTAATTTAAGTAGAGCAGGTATTTATTGAGATAAGTCTATTATTGAGAAGAATTGTATCTTAAAAGGAATTTGTTATGATCATCATCATTGGAAGTGTTTGATGAGGTGATAAATAAAATCAAAGGATATAATTATTTAGAGAACAAGAGTAATCATAATGATTATAATATGTAGTTCCATCCATATTTAGTAAAGAAGAAATTAGCTAATTTGAACTATGGCTGTTGAGCCTGATTTGAAATGTCTGATAAATTAAAATTAACCTTGAAGTTATAATTTAAGATATTTTATTATAATTATATGTATCATAATATTTTGATTTGATTTGATTTTTGAAATAGAGACTAGCATGTGAACCACTCACATAATAGCGAATCGGCGGGGTTTCGCGAGGGGAAGTGCTCAAGTCAAAGTAATCGTCAGTTAATTTGTCCGTCAGAAAAGATGTGGTGGATGCCTCGCTGCCTAAGCTCAGTGACGTAAGTCTGGCCCTGTGCTGGTCAGTTTCCTCTAATCTCGACTGGCTCACAGCTTCAAATACCTCATTTTCCGGTTCAGCCGATGGAGGAGGTTCCTCAACCTTCACTGCAGAATCTTGCTCGATGACGTCTTCTTCGACGTCTTCCATCTGCTGCCGTCTGGCTTCGTCCTGCTGTTCTTCTACGATGGTCTTTAGCCTTTCCAAGAAGTCAGCTTTGTTATCAGCGATTAAGTGGCCCTCCTTCACCTGCGTAGTGGGATCGTTAAATAAACACTTCGACAGAATCACTGTTAAGGAAATGGGAGGATTTGAGAAATAACGGGAAACACGCCAAAATAAATAAATGAATATGAAATTACCATTTTTTCGGCTATTTCCTCAGGGTCGTTATCCAAAATACCAAACTGGAATTTAACAATTTTCCCGATGCGGGTTTGACTGAGTTCCAGTTCGACGTGTTGGTCTTCGTAATCCCATGAGCAGAGCCGCAGAGCCACCTTGGGCGTCTTTGGGGTCTTGGGCTGAACGGGCATAGGCTGCGGCTGAAGGAAAATTATTAGTAAGCCAGCTTTAAAATCAGATCAACTTTCTGAATATGCCTCCGTCATTTCATTAGTCTAACTTAAAGATAATGTTGTTACTGTTTTCATTCAGTCGATCCAAACATTATTATATTTGCGTAGTCATATGCGCGCGCGTTTACGCGTACGTGCGCGCTACGTGACAGCTAACACTGAAAATTCGTATCAACAAAAACTACTTTCTCAACTAGTAAAAAGATATTTTACGCTTAGAAATTTCTAGCTTTCTGGATACATCCAATTTATGATTGCTTACTGAAAACGTGCTGGAAAGTTAACATCATGAGAGAAAGGCAGCAAGTCAAAAATCTGTTGTTAAAACGTGCAAGGGGAAAAAGATTGACGACGGATGTCGATTGAATTATCAAAATCAAAAAAGGAAAAAAAAAGAAATTTGGGCCAATCGATTGTTGGGTTTCTCACCATATCAGTGATAGGACTTATTTCGTCTCCGGTGTTATCGTCCGTCTAAAGGTGCGTGTGTCAGTGTGTCAAAAACATTTCTACTAAAACTTACCAATCTTCAAAGTCAAAGAAAAAGAAAAAACACGCCAAGTCACAACGCGTAAAAATTAAGATCAAAAGGCGAAGTGATTTTGAAATAATTTGCCAAATCGTGAAATCGACTGAATTTGTTGCGATGAAGCTTATGATAATGTAGTTTGAGGAGTCATCAATCTCCTCACGTCCGAAAATGGCGTTTATCTTGTCGCTAATATAATGGTTTTATATTAGTTTATGTTTGCTTGTGCGATGTAATGAATGGATCGTTCTCGTGTACCTTAAAGCATAAAATTAAATTTCAGGTGAGTAAAAGCAGTCAATATTGAATGCTATCTTAAAATTAATTGCAAGATACTTTAAAGAAAACTATTGAGATGTGGTTAACAGCGTACTGTAGTATCATTTACTTAATAAGAGGACATCATAAAATTGAGCGACAAAAATTTATTCCAAACAAGTGCATAATATTCGTTTAAACTTAAAGACAAAGCATTACTTGATAAGCTATCTTTATTACAATCCATCTGTTTAAGAACTTTATCATAGCTACTACGGGATAACAATGTGTATTCTCCTTGATCCATATCAACAAAACATATTTATCATTGATTCTTTTATATCTAAGATGCATTCTGTTGCGTGTGAATTGCATGAAATATACGAATTTCCTGTTTCCACATTTATCACAAACAAAGCATCAATCAAATTCCATCTTTTATTGTGGTAGATGTTTCTGACTAGCTGATGAATTTTACGATTCTTATTTCAGGCTTTCATGGTAATGACTAATGAGGCAATATCAAATGTATTCTTCAAGGTACAGATCGAATGATTTAATGGGATCATTATAACAGACTTTCCTAATGTACACTGTACAGTTAAGGTAACATCGGGTGATGTATTAATTATAATTATTATTTTGAATGTATGACACGGGGCTTACACGTTGTGACAGAAACTGTGAGCTTCACAGGAGCAATATTTTATTATTATTATTAGTGATGACATCAGTGAAGGCAATGTATCATGAATCATGTAACTTAGCTCACAAACTTGCTTCTCTTTACACGGATTGTGCCCAAATTTTAACACGCCATTAAAATTGCGTCCTGTTATATTACCAACGGTTCAAAATCATAAATTATGCTGCTCCGCCCAATATAGTTTCTGATAATATATACAGTTTGTAACTGTGCGAGCCCACTGTGTAGAGAGAGAGAGAGAGATGATAACAAAATTAAGATAATCGCTAAACATCACCAACTACACCATCTATAGTAGTACGAATATAATTAATCATGAGATGTTAATTTAACCGACAGAGTATTATCTTCAGACGCTGATTGGAGTCCGTATAATTTAAAGAAATATGCAGAGGATTTACCAGTATGTGGAGACACACGCTTACATTAACGGCATTATAATTAGATACAGGAAAATATAAAAGTAATACACCCGTTTTAATATAACGGCATTGCGTGCCATTAAGTGGGTGCTAATTATCTTCCAATATAAATTGTGGCCGCATAAAATGTGCCATTTACAGTTAAGATGGAAACATCGTGGCCGGGTACTGGATTGCTCGCACTAATATATAATGCAAATGTGCCATCTATTTGTAGGTATAATTTAAAACCGTAACGGTTATTTGGCTTGGTCGTGTCTCACCATGATAAATGATAATGTAGATCAACTTTTCTCAAGTAATTCATCTGCATATATTTAAATTTTTGTGTAAGATAATTTGTTGTCAGGTCGACTTAAATCGCACATCCAGTCGTTAACCTCATGAGCGTGGGTGTAAATATTTGTAAGATAAGAATAACAACTTTTTAAAACTTACAGTTAAGTTAATAAACCGTGTAAGCACGCAGACATCGTAAGTCGTGAATAATATTGAGTATCAAAAAGGCGTCGAAAAAGTTAAAAATCTGGTAGAATAAAGTTTATTTGAGATAAGAATTTCGTCTCATGAAAAAATGCAAGGAATTTATCATGAAACAGATTGAAACAATGATTAGAGGTTACCAGTCGGCTGAACCGGTTTCCTGGTATTATAGAAAGACTAATGCCTGGCAAATTCAACTAGATTTGAGAGGTGTGCCGCGCACGAATTTGCGACAATTTGACCTTATTGCGCGCCCCTGAACAACGTCACTCGGGGTACTTACCGTATTTTTTAGCAAGCATAATGAGGTTGGCAGTTGGAATATTTTGAATAATTTGACGGAATAATTAGGAAGGCTATTTGTGACATATCATGTGCTGGATTATTGTGCCTGGATTATAAAGTTTGCTACCGCAGTTTTATAATCAATCGAATTTCAAGATAATCCACTCCAAGAGAATATATATAATAGAACAATAATTAGATAGACATTAGACATGTAACCATGGTAACAATGCAGTCATCAACTTGTTACCATAGCAACAGTGCTATAAGGGCTGGTACTCACAATTGGCCCATAGAAATCCATCAACTCGCTTTTGACTCTCGTCTGGCGTTTAACCTGAAATAATACTATCAGTATCACTGTTGACAGAAATCAAAAAGACAACAATTCAAATAGAGGATGTAAGAAATATTTGTACATATCGTCCGTAGCTCCGTAGTTAAGGAATGGGTTATTTTCACAGCTAATACAGTTCTTAAGTTCGATTCTTACGCATTGTTGTGATAATTATGTTAATACTGATTAGTAGGTAAAAACTGTTGATGGACAGTCACGTACGAAATTGTTAATTATTTCGCAGCAGTTTTGACTCCAAGCACTGCGAATTAACGAACGAAGTATATGTTTTACATAGTGATTACAATTTACAAGTGTTGTAACTTGTAACTTGCATGTTGTAATTTGCATGTTGTAACTTGTAACTTGTAACTTGCATGTTGTGACACATTGTGGGAATGACTCAGTCCGAGAAGTAATCATCTTCATCCTAAGTTTCAGGGACCAAGTGACTATAATTCCTCGGTAGATAACGTCTAAAAGTGGACTGAAAGTACTAATACCCTTTACATTCGTCTCGTATTAGATGCAGTGACTGGTAAGAACCAATTTAAACATTTTACATTATATGTTCGAGCAATCACGCAATATTCGCGAGCTCATTTAAAGACCAGCCTCAATGTGCACATGGTGGGTGTGTAGCCTTGTTAAGCCTTAAATGGCAGGGACAGAGGCCCTCACACTATCAGACAGTGGATTTTTAGCTGTTTCACTAATATCACTTCAGCTTGCATATAGATTATAGGTCACCAAAATTGTACTTCAATTAAAGTATTTAGATTCCAAAGTTTATTTTTTCAAAAGATTTTTCTTTAATATTCCAACTAGCAAAAAAATGTTTGTGATTGGATATTGTCACAAGAATAGCATATTAGCTCAATTCCGCAGAAACATCTCCATCCCACGCGGGGGTATCTCCCTCAATTAGAGATCCTATCTTGATCTAAACCACAGCGCAATTATTACAAATAGACCGCTGTAAACTATTTAAGGGGGCCGGGGGGGTCTTCATCAAAATTCTCTCGAAATTGACTTTGTAGTTGTTTCTGATGGAGGGGAGTGATAGCTATCAGCTGTTTTTGGTCCCATGGAAAAATATTGTTTCTAGCCGAAATTATTGCCGGTCAAAGGTCAGCGCTTATATGTAATTGTATTGCGCGAGCGATTTTCAATCGCGCGCCCTGAAAATCGAGTCTAAAAATCTATCTTCTCCTACATTTTTTGAGCAATCACCCTGAAACTTTCAGGATATGTTCTAAGGACCATTTAGAAGAGATTGTCGGGCCAGAATTTTGAGATAGGCCTTAGAAAATTTTTTATTCGATTTTGAAAATCTTGGACCTCGTATTTTGACGATTTTTTCAGGTCCAAGATTTTCAAAATCGAATAAAAAATTTTCTAAGGCCTATCTCAAAATTCTGGCCCGACAATCTCTTCTAAATGGTCCTTAGAACATATCCTGAAAGTTTCAGGGTGATAGCTCAAAAAATGTAGGAGAAGATAGATTTTTAGACTCGATTTTCAGGGCGCGCGATTGAAAATCGCTCGCGCAATACAATTACACATAAGCGCTGACCTTTGACCGGCAATAATTTCGGCTAGGAACAATATTTTTCCATGGGACCAAAAACAGCTGATAGATATCACTCCTCTCCATCAGCAACAACTACAAAGTCAATTTCGAGAGAATTTTGATGAAGACCCCCCCCCCGGCCCCCTTAAGAGGTTGTGCCCTGTGTGGTAAGCTTCCATAATGACGGCGGTCCCAGAATAATAAGCATGATTACCTGTGGTTTACAAAGTGTACACTGTACTGTTAGTGAGAGAACCCTAGTGGACATCAGTGTATTGTACAGTTTAGTAGTGATCACTACAGCTCTATACGATCTAGGTATAATAATACACAGGCCTTAGGGGTAGTCTAAGATTAGGGGGGGGGGGGGGGGTATAGCGGGGACTTCAGAGATAATTATAACGTTTTAAACGGTATAATCAAAAGTAGGGGGTGATCAAAGGGGTCCTCGTGATCAGATTGAGCAAAGGGGGCCCCTGAGCAAACTGGGACGTATTAGGGCGTGGGATCTTGATAGGATACAAGAATTAAGAATACAAGAAGAATAGCATAGTTGTAAAGAGATGATAGGACTCTGATGAAGGGTTTCAAATAAAGGTGCCTGGTAGTACTGCAGGCCAGAGGCCTATTTTTACCAAGGCCCAACATTTGACGGGAATATTCCTCTGGTCAGTGAACACATAGTGAAAATCGTCAAAATTTTTGTTGCGCGCCGTACGTGACAGGGGTTTAACACACATATTTCCCCGAAAATATGAGTTAAAACCGATTTCCCCGATATATAATATAATACGTTTTTTAGCAAATACCTAAAAGTTGTTAAATATAAATCAGATGATGTGAAGGAGCAGGCGGAAGGTGGCATTTACTACCTTAAAAGTGAGCCAGCATAACTTCCAAAAATGCCGTTTTTAATGATAACTTCTAGGAAACGTTTGTATCGCCACAACATGGACAGCAACTTTACCTCAGATTGTTACACAGGGGTCTTATTATAACCCATTTTAACTTTAGTTGTTAACATTCCTCCAACATATGATATTTACAGGAAGGTTAACAGAAAACAAGGCAGCTTTGACATTTCAAGTGCTTCCCAATTAAGTATGTAGGGATTGACAGATGGCAAATAACACATACCGTGGCATTCAATGGGACATACTGGGGAACTGAAAACTGGCGCTGTGTACGTCGTGACGGGGAAAGAGAGAGAGAGAGCGTGGTATTTCAGGTTCGTTATAGGAGACATGTTTTTGATGATCTAACTTTACAATTAGCATATTATTATGATGTTTGGTACGTGGTAACTGGATACAATGGGCTCCACAACATGTCAAAACACCCCACACACGCTATATAACCTGCACTATATTGACCAGTCTGTGACTAAAGTGCCAACTACTTGAGCGGGTACTGTAAGAAGTAAGACAGAACTGTCGTGCGTTTGAGTTAAAAGTGTTGATACAGTGACTGACTACAACTCTAATATATAGGATACGTGTCAACAGACACAAAGTTGCATTTCAGTTACTTGCCTGCTTCAAAAACAATACAGCTCAATGGGTACCAAATACCTATCAGTCATTTTTTGTACTCACAGCCTTTTATGGGCAGTAAAGTTTGCCAGTCAAGACGTTGCAAACCGCACATCCCCCACTTAGCTAATCACCACAGTCGATTACATTTAATTCATCACAACCCAAATATATAACTATATCAATGACTTTGACGCAAGAGCAGAGTTAATAGTTAGCGTTACTTAGCGTCTCGATGCTGATTGCTGAAATGCAAATTTGACGCACGATTCTCCTAAGAGCAAGCCTTAATTCTACTCCTCCTCTGTAGTGTATCTTTACTACAGAGGGGTTCTTGTAAATAAATCATAATTATTTATGATGAATAAATTGTAAGACTAACGACTACTTAGTGCTTGGGATTCCGATCATATGCGTTAAGTAGCCAGTAGGCAGGTTAACAACAGGTTTTTTTTATCAAGTAAGGGAACCATTCCGTGATTTACCCTAATTCGATCTATTCTTCCGTTTATTATTTTTGTAATGAATGCTATAAATAGTTTTACCCGTTATAGCAGAAAAATGTAATTTTTTTCCGATCGAACATGAGCCCTTAGAAAAGTGTCTGGCACAAAGATTGGACAGAAAGGCTGGAGAGTGGTGAGAAAACCTGCGCTACGCCGTGAAGGAAGATAATAGCACGGTAAGAGATGAGGGAACGGAATGTAACTACTTGAGGACCTATCAGCTGGATGAGTTAACCTGTATAAAATTATCTTATAATTAAGATGAAATACTTTAATTAGATACTATAATGTAAATTCGGTGTTATGATCAGGGTGTCCCAATTAAGCTAAACGGTCATGAACTCTCGCCTTTTTCTAATAGATATCTCTGTCGCATATCTCTCATTCCTTGGATAACACTTAACACATCACAAGATAAGAATTTCATTCCAATCATCCGTTAAGACTCTTATGAAGGGAAATAATACGCTATGTTGAATTATAGCCTTTTAAAGCTACATTTTATTTTATTTTTGTACAAATACAATATTTGTTCCGACTAGCCTGCCATCTCCTAAAATCGACGGTAAAATGTAGCTTGCTGTGCGTTATAGTTTGTAATATAATTATATGTAATTTGAATTATACGATTTAATCACGCAGCACACCGACCTAAAGAATGCAATGTTCCCAAGGCTCAGAATTCAGATAAAACTATTCTACTTACGAGAAGGAAACTAGAAGGTGCATGAAGTTCAGAGCCCTTCTGCATTTTACTGGACATCACGCTGTACGAACATTATACGGCATTAAACGGCATTATACGGTATTCTGCAACACTGGTCATCCTGTACAGACTACAGAGAAGGAAAACGCTTGGAGTTTCCGGACTTGAAATGCTTGATGACGTGAAAACAGACATTATTCAGTTTGTGTTTGAACGATTACACGCTCTGAAATGTCAATGAGCATTCCAGAGGATATCATATTCCATGTATTGAAATCTACGGGAGCACTTAATTTGCCATTACACGCGGAGTGTGAATCCAAACCACACGATCATGAAAACCAGTCTCTCATCACGTGACCTTCCTGTGACCAAGTCAAGCACACATTAGATAATTTAAAAGATTAACATTGAAGATAACGACGGTTACTTCTAGAGCTAGTGTAAGAACATGACACACACAAAGTGATCATACGATGAGCGTTCTTACTTTCAACATGCATTACGTCACTCAATATACGAGAGGGGGCCGGGGGGGGGGTTGGAGAGATATAAGAGCGTAACATGTAATGAGGTTTAACAGTGGTATCAGATTCACTGGTCCTGCAGAACACAGTTCAACACAGGCGAGTGTGTGGGTGGAGTGCGGTGTCTTGGTAAAAATCTGCAACTTTCAGGTTCAGTCATGAGAATACAGATTTTGGGAACTTTTTCAAGAATCTAAAGTACGGGTATTGATATGGATTGTGAGTTAACATCTGTCAAAGGAAACTGATTCACCTCCCTTAAAAGGACACATAAGGGAGTGTCAAGGTTTAGAACATACAAGACGATCCGGAAACGTTTGAAGACAGCCTCACCCTCCCAAACACATGATATCACCCACAAGTAGTTGCAACTACACGGGACACATGATTTAATCCATGTAATTACAATTAAAAACTGCTGTAGTCTCAATAACTCCCCATTTAAACATCAATAGTGTAATTTTATTATTTATTATTATTCAATACTGTGCGGCAATTTTACCGAGTAATGAAGGAAAATAGCAACCTTCAACAGTTCAACACCCTGCTGGAATTGGCAAATGCAAATAACACATACTGGTTCCTCAGGTTTATATTCAAAATAAACTGTTCTTAACTTGTCCAAGCTCTACAATGAAAAACTGATATTTCGAAACATCGAACAGTTTCTGACTTCTCAAGAACTCCCAAAACATGTTGTGCGGTAATCTTATTAGATAATCACAGAAAATTGAAACCTCCACCACCCTGTAGAGATAAACCCCAGCTTCCGTGCTTAGTTCAGTATATTAACATGTTCAAGCTATATAATATAAACGGACTTTTTGGAAATTGGTCGTGTAGACTGTAGCTTAAACATTAAGCACTTACACAGTGCTTTATAACAATATGGGAACATTTACTGGGCGTATTTTAATACGCCCAGTAAATGATAATTATTGTTCACAGCGGGTTTGCAGAAATTATAAATACCATATACAGTAATGTGTCAGTAAACTATAATATACACTTGCACTAAACATTGTACAGTGCACATGTACATATTATATATATTATACACTATACAGTATACAATATACACTATACAGTATACAAGTGCTATAAACTATACATTATGTACCATGCACAGCTACATAATATAGTTTACATGATACGACTATACATTATATAAAAGATAAAGACTGTGTTACAGTAACCAATTTGCTGTTACGCGTGTTACGTGTGTACTAACTTTACGGAGACTGCGGATCTTAAATAATAACAGAGATCTAGGCTATTAGGATATTATCCGGGATATTATCTCGGTTTAAAGGTCTGATCTCGTACAGCATGACTATGTATAAACGTCAATCAAAGAGGGAGGAAATGTCACTCGTAAGTAGGGATTGAAGCTTCATTTGGAGTTTAGACTTGTCTTTATTTTTAGACTTGTCTTTCTCTGTAAAGAAAGTTCTAAGACAAAGAAAATAGGACGGTAGTTGGACTTCTTGTTCAATAGATCAGCACTTGCAGACCAGTTAACAGTTTCATCTTAACCTCTGTGCACGTGTCAATTAAGTACTATACCGGTATTTTCGTAATTTGGTGTGATGCTTTCTGGTTAGGGGGTTGTCAAAGGGGGTTGGGGAGGAAATCTTCTTATATCAAGTCCAACTGCAACTGTTTTAAAATCAATTTTGGCACAGGTTTAAGAGTGAAAATTGAGAACAACATTTATTATTTTCAAGACCGAGTTGCTCTATTGAAGGTTACCAGAACTAGCAACAACTTAATAAGGCAGTGTTGAGAGGAGTACCAGACATTTTTAACTAAAATAAGACAATTACAACTTGACAGATAGCAATTATTTCGCTTAACATTTATTTTACTTTTCCTAGAAATTTACTAACGTAAATTGCAACGTCTGATATACTTCTAAGAAAGTATTAAGGCTTTAGGACAAGAATAAAGCCCAACTTTAAGGTATGCCATTTTTCGTTTTAAAATAGTTGCGGCATATCAGATACTCACACTAGACGGTCGCAGTGTAAATATAAGCGTGTTGTGGACCGTGTTAATGGACATTTGCAGAGCTGTTACATTTCAATCTTATTATAAAGAAGTGAAAGCGAGGCATTTTTGGTTTACTGTCTAAATGGAACGTGAATTATAATAATAATAGTTAATAGTTAATAATAGTGAATTGCCTGTAAGAGAGAAAAACTTGTTACAAGTATTAGTTTAAGATAAGGTAGCTACTGCTCTGCACTGTGAATCAGGGCCATTTATTTCCCTGAGAATTGTAAATCTTCAGAGTATGCAGATAACACAATCAAGACAATCTTATAAATTTGCTTTCGTCCCCAGACTTCGCTAATTGTATTATAATTATATAACTACTACATAGGTGAGTTCAGATTATGTCAGCTGTTGAATATTTAACACTGTACTGCATATGTGACGCACGTGGTATGCTGTGTACACAAGTACACTCTGCATACCATACATTGTACATTGTACATTGTATACATATTCTGAGGCGGAATTGTGAAATTATAATAACAGAAATCCTGGGTATAATGACTTGGGTATATACTATTATATAGCCTGTTAGTCACCGCTGAGTAAATATTTGCTGACGGTGTTAAACAGGTTTACTTAATGCTTATCCTATATAATCTAAATTAAACTTGATTCGATTAACCGGCCGAATATTTGTGCTAATTGAAGTTGATTAGAAGTATAATGTATCGGAAGAGTATTTATTTACGTGTGTATAATGAAGTCTCATTATTACTAGTGAGTAACACAGCTTGCAGAGAAGCCTGTAAACCGGTCAACTCGGTCCACCAATCGGTGAGCTGTGTTGGCAGCACGTGATGGAGAATCAGCCAATGAGAAGACGGGAGAGCAGGAGCTCGTGGCACGCCTAACATTTCTAGCTAAGCGCAGAGTGTAGAGTCGGGTCAAGACTGCGAGTGGATACATTATATTAGTACTTAACAGATACTTTCTATATGGGATCACATAATCCCTGTGCAACGCGTTATCCAGTGATTTATCAAGCAGAAGATTTTATCACGCAACAACTAACCAATGAGCGTGCTCGCTGGAGAGCAGGAAAAATTGACATACAAACATGGACTTCAGATACGCTTCCTAGATCAGAGTAGATATATTATCATACTACCCTACACTCAACACTCGTGACATGTAGTACTTCTGTACAGCAGACATCATCACTACTATCTACTCAGACTGATAAAGGGTTTAAAATTCACGCCCCAACTCTACTGAGAGGTGACATAAAAGTTAGACTGATCTAATGTTTTGTAATAAACTTTAGAATATGCTATTTTCTTACCTAAGTTTTTTAACGTATTCATATTTTCGAGCACCGGATTTACCGGAATCGAATCATTCGACCCCCGGCTAGAGCGATATTTATGATTAACAAAGACAAATTCTTGGCCATATTCCAGCGATTGATGAGTGTTAAAATGAGGATGCAACAAGTTAAGACAATTCTTGGCATTTTATCACACAAGATAATGCTCCCTAACATTGCGTGGCTTTCAGAATATTTTAAATTAAGTTATTTGACTATTTACGATTCCTTTACTTATCAAGAAGCATTGTAATATACCGGACCAAAATCAAATGTATAAGACATTGTATTGATGATTTCATTTTAAAGCAGATGGTTTGAAACTAAATACAACTTTAGTCTTATCAAATAAAATTGGTCAATGAGGTCAATGTCAATGAGATCACCGAAAATTACACACTCTTCCCATTTTCACGTGTGTTTTCACAGTTAATTATCTGTGTTTTTAAATGTTTAAAATCCTTTTCAAGGATTTTCAAGGATTTTGAGATAAAATTGCTTCTCTTAAAACTGGTAGCTATAAACTAACCTTTTCGATGAGTTTATGAATCTGATTCTGGGCGTCTTGTAAATGTACTTCCTTGATGTAATCACCTCTCACCTGAAAAGAAGAGGAAATCAGATCAGCTTGTTGATAAAAACAAATCGTCAGTTGATTTTAATGAAATCATAAACTGATTAAACTGATTACCAAATGGGAAATACATCAATTTCCGTTAACAAAGCCTTAGAGCTTATTCAGTTCTTAGGACATGTCACGTCATCTTATTCCTTATAATGCACCGTGAAGTCACTGTATTTATATACAATATGTATATATATTATATCTATATCCGCTCCCTAAATCCGCAATAAACTTTATAATGGAGGGTGCGAATTGGAGTTTTCATGCCCCAGCTGGGTGGTTTGAATTATTTTTACTGTCTTAAATGGTTATCACTTCGAGATGGCCAGGCCTACTCTCATGCTGTCTATATGTGATGATTAACTCTGAAAAACTAGGGACAACTGGGGAATGATCCCAGAACCTCGAGATTTCGCGGCTCTTGCTCTACCAATTGAGCTACTGACCCTTGATTCTCAGAGCGAAATCACCACTCATATACAGCACAATTTCATGCTTTGTGTAAATATAGTGTGGATAAATGCGAATATATATTCTAAATAACTGTCTTAAATGGGTAGAAACCCCTTAACATGGTAACATTGTTACCTGCACAGAGCGATTATACCTTTACGATGAGATTGCGCCGAAACTGTCTAAGGTAGTACAACTTCTATATCCCTTTTTAAACCACACTCATTTCGTAGGGGCTGCTGACAGGCCCTAATGGCTATTATGCATTTAAAACAGTATTATCTTAATATTTTTGAAAAATTGTGTTTTCAAATGATCTTTACTGCCAAATTGCTTCTAGACCTTTAAAGCTTTATATTAACGAGAGCAAAATCCACAAAAGTGGTTCACATACGCCGACATGAATGCCATTGCTAAACATCTGCCGATAGAATGTTGCAGGCTGCAGATTCACATCCTGCCATTTAAAACTTTACGTGTTTTACAGGCATTGTGGTCGACACTAAATGTTCTCAAGGCATGCTGTCTCAAAACGGACTTTAATTTTAAAAGCAAGACTAATAGTCCTCAGGAGTGAAGATGGTCCTAGGACGACTGACTGTTTTTACCTCTGATGAAATAATATTCTTACTGCCTATAATCCTATTTTTGCGCATTACAACATTGTGCTATAATTGTAATTCTACTATTCAAGTTCGTAAACGAAAATGTAGAGTTTACCCAGGCTCACAAGTTTTAAAAACTGTAAACTAACCGGTGTGAAACTTTATAAATAAAGTTGCGAGTTATTGTTTAAACTACCGCTTGCCGTGTTGCGCTCTGTAAGCTAGATGCTAAAATTATGTGTAAGAGTAACATGTAAGTTACATCTTGTTAAACGTTTAATATTTCAGATGGATCAAATACATAATTGTTACGGTATTCAAACATAATCTAGGTTTATCTAGAAACGTCTAAAAACGTCTGGATAAACCTAGATTTAGCTAAATGGATTCACCTAGATCTGCCTAGATGCACTTAAACTCGCCAACATTGCGATTTATATTAAAGCTGTGATGTTCATGTTAGGTAAATAAGATTTTGAACCTTTTGAAAATTAAACTGACACTTTAAGACCTCTAAATCTATTTAGTTAAACTTTAAGTAAATCAAAGTGAAATTAACTTGATCCACACCTGCTGCTTTAGTTGCCCAAATTAATTTAAAATCTAATTAAAAGTAGATATAAAACGAGGGATCAAAGTCGAGGAACCATCACGACAAATTTTAAGATGATATTTTTGCTGTTTACTGTAGCACTCGCAAGTGCGGACCCCCTCCGTCAAGCACTCCAGTCTAACGAAGGACTGGCCAGACTTTTCACCCAGTACGAGACAGTGGAGGGTAAAGTCTACTCGGCTGATGAAGCGAGGTTGAGGTTCAGATTGTTCCGGAAGAGTGTGAAGAATGCGGCGGACACCAACGAGCAGGATCTAGGCTGGACAGCTGGACTGAACCTGTTCTCTGACTTGACTGAGGAGGAGAAGGGACAGTACCTAGGTCTGAACATCTCTCTGTCTCATGCTCAGGGGGAGCCAATGCCTCTTTCAGATGCTCCTGCAGCTGAGGAGATTGATTGGAGGAAGAAAGGTGGGGTGACTGGTGTGAAGCAACAAGGCAGATGTGGATCTTGCTGGACTTTCGGAGCTGTCGGCAGTATTGAGGGAGTCCATTTTGATAAGACTGGTATTCTCAAGAAGTTCGCTGAGCAGGAGCTATTAGACTGTGTCTATGAGGGTAAAAGGGACGGATGCCAGGGAGGTTTGATGCACGATGCCTTCAACTACATGAAGCAAACACAAAGACTAGCTCCTTCAGCTGCTGTCTCCTACACTGCTAAAGACGGATCTTGCAACTATGGAAGCAAACCTAATGGCTTGGAAAGAAAGGTTGAGGGAATGTTCGAGATTTCCAAATCTGAAACAAATCATGTTAGTGCTCTCTCCAGAGGTCCCATAGCAGTTGCTTTTGAAGTAACGAATAACTGCCGGCAATACAGAGGAGGAGTGTTTAAAGACATGTCCTGCACAGGGCAACCAAACCACGCGGTCACTATGGTGGGTTACAACAGCAAGACATTCGCTATTAAGAACAGTTGGGGAGGGAGCTGGGGAGACAGTGGTTACATCCACATGTCCAGGAACCACGGCAATTGTGGACTTTACTCTCATTCTGTAGTTATTTCTCTGGCTGGATCTAGACCTGACCCTATCCCTGATCCAACTGATGGACCCATTCCAACCCCTTCTGATGGACCCATTCCGACCCCAACTGATGGACCCATTCCGACCCCAACTGATGGACCTGACCCAGACCCTAGCTGTAAAGATCTCGCACATAACTGCGACCTGTTCGTGGACTGGCTGTGCAAGTACCAACCAGATAACTGCAGGAAGACGTGTGGATTGTGCTAGATTGATCAGGAACCAACCTGCATGTTAGGATTCTTGAAAAAAGTAACAGATTGTATTGTGCACTCTTAAAGTTGTTTTAATGTTTCTGAAATCTAAAAAGTACTTAAACATTGAGGGAACCTAGCCTGGTAATGTCAAAAATGGTCAAATTCATAATAGTTTAAAACCGATAATGAAGCCATAAGCCATTTGATCTACTCAATGATGAAATGAAATGATACAATAGAAAAATTAAAGGATCTATAACTTTTTAACAGACACGCCCATTAGATCTTTGTTGGCAGGTTTCTTCCATTTAAAAATTGATGGCATTTTCACAATGACCTCTTCTCAATGCCCAGACCGTAAAGAAAATATTCTGAAAAAAGTAAAACGGCAAATTTAGATTCCGAGTTATTATACAATTTGTGAATCTCGTTAGCATAATAGATTGGGTCGTCAAGCGTTAAGACACCGAAATCAAGCAATTAATGGTTGAGGTTCCTATAGGGTATAGGAGTATCACTTAATCGGGAGAAATGTCTGGTTATCTATAATGTACATAGACATTCCGATGTCAGGATACCATTGCCATGATTTTTGGTTGATGACAAATAAGTATCTCCCCAGCAAATTACAGCTTGATTTGTAATATTACTCCGAAATGCTCTAAAATGGTAAAAATTTACAGGGCATGAACATAAATCATATATATGCCAAGATGTTTGCTTCCTGGTGAAAAGAATTAGATTAATTGGTCTTGTGATGAAAGAGCTATTTGCCTGAACGTTTGTCCACAGCTTGAGGCCCACCCTTTATTATATTATGTGATGAAGAGGCACAAACTATGTTAAGCAGCGAACCACTACGTATACAGAGTGAAGCACAGAGCCAATCAATTTATCAAGCACATAAGCACGATATAATCCAGAGAAGCACACTCACCAGAGAAGCAGCGACATAGCGAGACTGGTCTGTCTGGGTATTGATGGAGTAGTACTGGACATCTCCAGGGTTGTCAGGATGAGAGATACATATCCTCATGTTATCTCCATCCAACGAGTTGAACGAGATCTTCGGCCATCCCGTTGGCAGAGGGGTCTGAAAAATAAAAAGGTGAATAATTATATATTTAAGGGGGCAGGGGGGGGTCTTTATGAAATTTCTCTCGAAATTGATTTTATAGTTGTTTCTGATAGAGGGGAGTGATATCTACTAGTTGTTTTTGGTCCAATGGAAAAATTTTGTTCCTAGCCGAAATTATCGCCGGTCAAAGGTCAGCGCTCATGTGTAATTGTATTGCGCGAGCGATTTTAAATCGCGCGCCCTGAAAATTGCGTCTAAAAATCTATCTTCTCCTACATTTTTTGAGCAATCACCTTGAAACTTTCAGGATATGTTCTAAGGACCATTTAGAAACTTCTGGTCTATCAGAATTTTAAGATAGGCCTTAGAAAAGTTTTTATTCGATTTTGAAAATCTTGGACCTGGAAAAATCGTCAAAAAACGAGGTCCAAGATTTTCAAAATCGAATAAAAACTTTTCTAAGGCCTATCTTAAAATTCTGATAGACCAGAAGTTTCTAAATGGTCCTTAGAACATATCCTGAAAGTTTCAAGGTGATTGCTCAAAAAATGTAGGAGAAGATAGATTTTTAGACGCAATTTTCAGGGCGCGCGATTTAAAATCGCTCGCGCAATACAATTACACATGAGCGCTGACCTTTGACCGGCGATAATTTCGGCTAGGAACAAAATTTTTCCATTGGACCAAAAACAACTAGTAGATATCACTCCCCTCTATCAGAAACAACTATAAAATCAATTTCGAGAGAAATTTCATAAAGACCCCCCCCTGCCCCCTTAAATGATTAATTCATTAAAGTTGTCAGGATTGTTAGGTTTGGATTTTGGAACAAAGAATTTACATCTTTACAACATTCATGCTTAATACTGGGAGTTCATGCTGAGTTAGTATTCATCATTCAAAGTGAGCTTACAATCAGGTTGATTGAACAGTATCATGATCAAAACGAAAACTTATTGGGTCTTATTTGTCATTTCAGCATCATAATTTGAGATCGTGTCAGCTGATAACTCACAATATTTTACCATCATGTACGCTTAACTTTATCTATAAATTTGAACATATTGAATTTATTTACTTTGAGCATAATTCAAGCACATGAAAATTAGACAATCTTAAAAAGACATAATTTTATATATGAAGGAGATTTTACAGTTCTGTGTTTCTCAATTAAATTGATTTGAACTCAACATTGCATTGGTGGAGTTCTAAAAGGAGATTAAACTTTAAACTTCCACACTTTTACAAAATCTTAGACAAGCGTGAAAAGAAACCCTTTAATACGTCAGCACTTTTAATCTTTCAACTTTCAAGTTTTAACCTTTTTAACCCTGTTGACTAGAGAACTGTACACAAGATACTTTAATGGCTGAGGATGACCTCAACCCATTTTGGAAGTGGGGATGAAACTTGAGAAACTTGATAACGACTTGTTGAGCAGTGGAGTAGACTGTAATTCGGTTAACTCCACCCCCTAACCGGTTGGACTGGTGTGTGGTTCGTCAACTTTAAAAGGCAATTTAACGATTTCTTATCGGTCCATGGTGTTACTTATCCTGTGTCATTAAACTATTGATTAGTGTAACACAATGTCAGTGAATTAAAAGTGAGATCACTTATTCCAGGACAACCTTATTCGAATGAGAGTTTATTATATGAGCTGTAAAGTAACGGTGGGGTAGACGTTAATATAATCAATTTCATGTGTAGTAACTGGGACTCTGGTGGTGCCCTCTGTCTAATCGGGGCCTGGTAAAATCCACGGACTGTAGTGTGATGTGGTGATAAAAATGACCAACTGCTAATGAATTGTGACGTCATAGAAACAGTTTAGGGTTTGTTCCTTATTTCATAGTCTTAAATTCCTAGTGAGCTGTGACGACATTGAAACTTTTTATCAGTTCATGGTTCCTCCTTAATCGCTTGGTCGTCATTTCAGTTGCAAATTCAGGGGTTAAGTGACCAACTGATAATGTACTGTGACGAAAAACAGTTCAGGGTTTCTTTTCAATTTGCTAATCGTCAAGCTAGTCCAAAATTCAAGGCTGAAGAAATAATTTTACAGCTGATAAGGTCTTCAAATTTGTAACATATTCAAAAATCATATGAGCATAAGACGAGGTTTCCCATACCAATTTATCTAAAGAATTCGCGAGTCTCCAAAATAAAAACTGGTTTTGAGCAAGCCCTCACATAATATAATCTATTGGTCAAATGCCAATCCCAAAACTTGGTAAATCTTCCGGGAAGATAATCAATTATCATATTACACTTGCACTCAAGTGAAGGTATTTGTTATAAAACACGAGAATAATCTTAATCTTATTCTTATAACAATGAAATGGTTAACGAGCTCGAGCCTACACAGTGGCAATTCCATTTCCTAATTCCAGACACACTGTAAATTTGCAACTCCCATGTTATATTATTCTACTCACCGCTCAGAAAAAAACGAGATCAGTCAAATCAGGGCGGGTGACCTTCCCAGATCCAAGACAGCTATCTGCTATCTAGATACAGTTTTACTACAATGTACTATCTGTGTCCAATATATATATGTTAGATTGTATCAACCCTTCCTACTAATGTTCAGTTTTCACATTAACAACCCAAACTTTGGGAAACAATGTGAATCAAGTCATGGAATTCAGGGCCAGATCATACGGCATTACTGTCGCCACCGAGTCATGTAGTCATATTGTGTAACTGTAAAGAATGTACAACAATTCTATTTACGTGGATTCAGAACCGCGACCATTTACACTGCAATTTTTGTTTATTTGCAGCGTAGGTTATATTTGGCAGAGTTGGTAGAAAATATACTGATAGTGATGAGAGCAAAAACAAAAGTGATCATGGGAATAAGTTCATTTTTTTCTTCATACATCATGTTTTCCATATTTGGCATTTGGGAGTCACCCGTCTTATGTTGCAGCAATGGTCACTACAAAGACATTATTAAACTTAACAGAGTGCTTATTGCTAATGTCACCAAGACGAGGCTGGACTGGGTGCTTACACGTCTAACAAGTCTTAGAAGGCCACAGCAGTGTTACGCTACTTTCTGGCCCGAAGCTCCGTCACAAGATTGTTCCTACATTAACCAGTTTCGTGGACTGATTGGATGAACAGACCCAGCAGAGCCATTAGTAAACAGTTTAAGACTCTCATCCCAACAATTCGTGTCAACGCTGAGAATCGAATTTAAAACTCACATTATTTCGATAAAGATCCCAGTTTCCACTCGGCCACTGACAGTGGTCATGACGTTACCACCACACCAGTACACCGAACTGAACTGATACAGAAACACGGCACAATACTCGAGACCCTAATTCGATAATGATGTGTAAAGAAACGCCACAGAAACCTAATTTGATTGGTGACTGTCACACCTTTCAAGGTATTTAGTTGCGAGAAGAACGCAGTTTATATTAGGTATGAAGTGTTACCGGCCAGATATTGTAGACCAAATGTAGAAATGTATAATAATATGATAGTTGAACACAATTTACTCTTTAGAGTATAATGCCGGGCTATTAGAAGCAATACATTTCATAGTTTAGTTTAACTGTTTAGATGTACACATACCGTGCACGTATATAACTGGTAAATCAACAGCCAATTTAGCAGAAGATAGACAGGATGCTATTAACTGGCCGATTTGAGGCATTTTTCTGGAATAAATACCAAGTCTCTCGGCATTCCACAGATCGGTAGCTGCAGAACAATCACAGAGCTTATACTGGGTGTGTGATCAGATTTCCATCCCGGACTCTAAGTAATCTGCATCTGCACAGGAAAATGTTGCAATATCACGTCCTATGCCTACTCTAGGGAATAAGCCGAACGCGTGCCTTGTACGACCTACGTGTTATTTCTGTTGATTGAGGTCCACCCTAAATATAAGTCACATTTTTTGCATACCATTGTGGGTTGTAAAGGTCAATCAGACCGCTTAACTCGAGCGTCTTACGCCAGGAAAACTCAGGATACAGACAAATGCGATGATATTGGACAGAGTCGTAGCTCGTTATTGGATAAAATGAGCTGTGAAAATGGGTTACAATTGGGTAAAAGGAGCGCGCACTTCATCACTTCAGAATTGCCTAACTGGATCTATCAACATATCGCTCTACTTCCCTCGTACTTTCTAGAATTGTTTACAACAGTCAACATTCCTGGTAGTTAGTACTACAAACACAATTCCAAGAATGACGTACTTCACCTGGTAACGGCTAACAACATTCCCGCGAAAAGTGCTGAGTATCCAGTATGCATATCTTATCTACACATAACTTTATATAGCGGGAAACGTTGATAAATATATCTACCAGGATATTTAGTTTTTTTTTATAAATTTTTAGTTATTATATTATCCCTCATTAATGTAATTATACAATTGATAAAAACAGGAAGACAAAGCCTTGATTGTGGTATATATTTAATAATGATGAAGCCGATTGAGGAGATTCTAATATAGCGTTGTAACCCTAAGGGTCAAGGTCAAAAACAAGATTCTTAACACGGTTAAGACCTGATACTTGATAGTCCCCACGTCATGACCAACAAATGACCGCTCTTTAAGGCTGATCAATAAATTGGGCAGATCGAATTAGACCGCTTTAAAGTGATCAACTCCGTTGTTAGCCCAGCGGCAACTATTATTTTTCTTCTTTGTTCACGAACGTTCTGTTTACATTCATTGTCTTGAACCTACAAAGTTGTCACGTAGGACAGAGATTCACTCTTAAAATCCATGAAACCTAAACCTTAATTCTATCACTTCCATCGTCCAGTGATCTTTATAATGTACCTGATGAGTACCTAGCCTTTACTTCATTTTCCTAAAATGAGGTCTGATAGTTCCATTTGTCGCAACTTATAATTCATTTCACACAAACAAGGTGTATACTCAGTACGTGCAATTGCAAGGACGTGGATTATATTTGCTAGATTAAGGAATTAGACTTCAGAAGAATTTTGAGAAACCTCGAGAACTTTCTCGATGACTT